GCCCCCTCGCTCCAGCTGGGCAGCCTGTCCCAGCCCCAATCCCTCCCTCTCCCACACCCCTTACCTCCCCGCTCTGCCCACCACAACAGACTTACCAGCTGGAGGCAGCTATGTCCAGTGTGGTGAGGACTGCTGCCTATTTAGTTTATGGCCAAATCTCCAAAGCAGTGTTGAATCTTTTCCAAATCAATTCAGAGGCTGCCAATTCGATTCAGACCTTTTAATTGGTCTTCCAATTTGTTTTGGAGTCGAAGATTCGGCCACTGAATCAGGCCAAATCTCCTTCAAATCAAATCGGCTACCAAAGCTTTGCACAGCCCTAGTGAACATCCAACTTGAAAACTCTCAGCAGAAAACAACAAAAGGTGAACTCTGTGTGCCACTTTGCACGCAGGAGGACATTGCTGGAGAGGCCAGAAAGATCACTTGTCTTGGGCACATGTGGGAATAGATACATTCCTTTGCTAGAGCATAACCAGACTTAACACAATCCAAAATTCATTTAAGACTCCAGTACCAGTTACCCTTTAACTGTCTCAGCAAACACTACAATCAGTACATCAGAGACTGGCTCACTCGGCCTTCAGCATCCAACATATGAGGATTCTGTTGACTTGAGAAGGGACAGGGTTTCAGGAAAATATTAACTAACACGGAAGTCAGACAACTACCAGGATCTACCCAGAGTTTCTGCTTCTGTGGTGTTATAAAGCGAGCTGCTATTACATATTATATCATTTTCCTCAAGGGTACTGATTCCTGCCAAAGGGTTGAAGATCTGATACCCACTTGTCAGTTGATGTAATTCTCTGTTGTGGAATTCCCCACAAACACAGGATTTTGATAGGCTTTTACGGATAGACAAGCTTTTCAAATGAACCCAATACCCAAGTTCCTGAGTTCCCAAACATGAATAGAAGCAGCTCTAGCAATGGTCATCTTTTGCAGCAATAATGAAAGGGTATGCCTTTTCAGACTTGTGTTATATCAGTCTACCAGTCTGAAGACGCTATGCCCATTTGATAGATAAACATATTTCAATCACCTCTGTAAGGACCGCAGAGGACTCTGGCATGCTAACAAACACAGCACAATGTGTCCTAGTAGCATTTGCATGGTTGAGTTTGGATCAAAGCCACACAGATGACCTAGCAGGATTTACCTACAGCTCCAAATTGTGGATGATCAGAAGTTTGGTAGAAGGTGCCAAATTTGATGGAAACAGCCTTTCCTCCCAGGAGCTCCAAGGATCAATTCTGCATGTAAAAATGTGGCTGCCTCCGCCTGTGCTGCTGTAGCTATTTGGGAAGTTGCCTTTTAAAGAACAGAATGTAGAACCCCAGAAAATTTAGTATGGCAAGCAAAACATTACTGAAGTGTTCACTGCTCTTAAAGGAAAGACACTGTTTATGATCCAGATCTTAGAGGAGTCTCAGTATTTTTTAAACAGACAGACCTACTTCATAGACCGGGGTTCCCAAACTTTTTATGCCACGGCCCAGCAAAGTGCGGCCTAGCAGTCACAGCTGACTGCAGTCAGAATTTCCAGCTGGAGGACAGGTAAGGATACCTCTACCTCCCAGGCCCAGCTCTGGGGGGCCGTAGTTTGCCAGTTTGTGACCACTTCCGATCCGGCGGCCAACCCACTGTGACCCAGGTCCGGGCTGCAGTGCAGGGATTGAGAACCCTTGCCATAGACCATATAGATGTCTGATCAAATTAATCCGGAGTTGTTTGAGATACAATAAGAAATCAAACTAGCTCTCTGTTATAAGGCTGAGGTATTGAGAGAAGCTTTGGAATGACTTCTCAGAGTTGCTCAAAATAAAAGACAAACCCAATACCAGGCCAAGCATTTTTCAGCTGTCAGACTCAGGAACGGTTTTGACTGAGGCTTTCTACATCAAGAGTAGGAAACGTGAATTTCCAGTTATGGGCCAGAATGAGCTAATCCAGGTCAGAGATGGGAGGGCACTAAAACCCAATTGCTGCTGTCACGGGTCTTCTCCACAGTGGAACGGTAAGAGCTTCTACAGCTGAAGTCCCCCAGCTACCAAATACCAAAGCTCCACATCTGCAGGCTGAATACAGGTTTCCATCCTATTCTATATGGTCCTTGACATGGGCAAAATGCTCAGTACTAAGATGGATTGTGCTTGGCAAAACTTCTTAATTTTGGGCTGGTACGTACAGCTACTTCCAAACTTTGGTGCTGAATCTTTAAATAGAGATCTCACTTGTCAAAGACTGTTTTGGAGAGGTTCTCCATCTCTATTTCTTGAAACAGGTTTGGTCCTGTGCTCTTTGTTCCTCTTACCCAATATTTGACCGAGTGTGGATAGTAAGATGAGTTTGCACTCAGTGGTACAAAATCTCACTGTAGTATCAGTTTTCATCTGTACTTCGCACTGTGCTATTATGGAAAACAGAGTGCACAGGGGACAGGTGTTGCTCCAATGAACAGCCGCTATTCAGAACAATGTAATTTTTCATGTGCATTTAAGAGTGAAATCAGAGTGGAACCACTTAAAGAAAATATTTAATCCACATATTTATATAAATTGAATACCCTCTTCTATTAAAATCTGGGAAATTTCTCAATCTAAATCACAGAGTCTTCCAATAAAAACAGGAGGTAATGCTTTATTTTTCTTGGATAAACTGAACAAGCAAAAATTGAAGATGATTTCTCGGTAGAAGGAAAACTGTAGGAAAACTCATTTTTCCTTTCATATGTCTCGAGCCACAAAATCTCTGCATATATATAAGATTTTAAAAAAACAACATGTGACTAGTATGAGGGATGGAGGTCACAGGGCACAGGTCTTACTGCAGATCAGTTGATGCATGGCAAACTGTTGGCCAGACACCCACTCCTGCTCCATGGGAAATTATTAAACATGTTTCTGGCTCGCCTGATAATCTAGTAATAATACAATCAATTGCTATACTAGGGAATGGATTAAAATCCCAAAAAGTCCAGACTACTGCTTCTTCCTTGAGTCAAGATACTCAATCCAAGAAACTGCTATAGCAGAGGTATTGAAGAAATGTCCGAAACATCTTACATGACCCTGCTCTGCTTCATGACTGGAATACTACTATCTACTTTTAACAGTTAAACATTTCTTCAGGTCCTCTGATTATAAGTAATTGGATATTGATGATGGTCAGAAAATAAACACTTATAAAGATAGTGAGAAAGAGATAACTGCATTGAGAACAAGTGATTTAGCTAATGACTATCAACAAACACACTGGATAAAGCAAAGTGCCTAATAAAGTTTGTCCAGGTTCTTAACCTACACTGTATTTCAAGTTCTAACAACACTTCCTCAGAGCCTCAACTTCACAGAGATATAAAATTTGTTATATTATTCCTTCTGTTACTACAGGCAGCTTTAAGACCGAACATGATCAACAGTAAAGAGTTCAGAGGACTTGCTCAGTGGGGCTGACTTCAGGGCTGTGGTTTGGAATACGTGACAAAAATGCAGATATGACAGATTTTATGCATGTTATTATCAAGCCATTTTGCCTATTTTATAGAAAGATTCTGTGGTGAGACTCAGAGAAACACATGAACGACAACACCACAGGAGTCTGGTGAAAAACTGACTTTATACCACCTTTTCATCTCTTGGATTCTGGACTATTTGGGAGCCTGAAGTGAATGAGTCCAGCACTACAGGATTAGAGGATTTAATCATGTTAGCCTTCTTATAAAATAATTAGGCAAGGGATCATAATAACAATGAAAACTAGCATATTATACACAGTAGAAAACAAACAATTATAACTCAGGGCATGGAGGTACTCTGGACAGAAAACTAAGCAGCCAATGTGGTTTGGATTTTCTTCAGAGAGAAAAAATATGAAACTGCATGATGTCAAATCACCTTTCACACTGGCTATACAACTGTGTGATATTTTGAAACCTTGTGCTTTTTAAATAATTTTTTTTAAGTCATATACTTTTACTCACAATACGAGCACAAATAGAACTCACGCAACTTATGCCAACTAGTCTCTCTGCATGTACAACAAAGGCTATTCACATTTTGGAAGCTTTCATTAACTGTCTTACATTTCTTGTTATTTATTCCCTTTATCCCCTCTAACACAACACACACAGGCCAATCAGTATGCATTGCCAATCGTGATGCAACCCCTTAAGTGCAGACTATTTGTAGGTGAAAGTATGTATTTCTACAATAGAACTTCATCCTTACATATACTTAAAGCAGTCCTTCACTAGAACATCTGGCTATTCTTGAAGGCTTCATCTGAAAGTTCCCCATTTCCTGACTTTCTGCAATCAATCCTGGCTGGAGAAAAAACATCTCTTGCTCCATATGAGTCTATGAAACCTATATACAACTACCAGAAATCTTTCAGGACTTCATGCTGGTCAGGAAAGTGATCATTCCCTTAAGTCTTGAAACCACTGCTCCCTACCAACACCCTGAAAGATGACCCAGGTTGGCACTGCCCTTCCATGCCAGGCAAGTTCCCTTTTCTACCAGCTTAGAAGAGGTCATTGAAAAGAAACTCCAAAGTACACAAATGAGAAAAAAAAAGATTGATTACTGAACTATCGTATCTATTATTCTGAAGTAATAAAACACTCTGAAGATATAAGACCTCTTGTCTCCAGCAAATAAACCAACTTGGATACAAAGGACTGACATATTGTACAACAGACTGAGACAGAAATAAGTATTTTAAGAGCTCTAAAGAAGCTTTAAATATTAAGTTGAACCTCAGAATTAACAAGGCAAGCATTTAAAAATAAAACACAAAACAAATAAAAAAAACACTCATTTATAATTTAAAAACATTAAGCACTTGAAATTTTTTACATAAAGTCATTCAGAGTACACCCAAGTCATGACTTAGTGATCTAACTAAATCCATGGTTAAGATTATTTGAGACAATCAAAGGGACAGAAACCACAGATTCACACTCATCATTTCAGAATACCCCCAGTAGTCCTACAGCTACAGGAACAGGAGTGTCAAATGTACTAGACAGTAGCAAGTCCACAAAAGTTCCTTTAAAAAGATTGAGAATATTGCTTCTTACAGGCAAGTCTAAAGCTCTGGCTTGAGCCTACTGATCACAGGTCTAGGGCTGTGATGTACACAACTTTAGATATGCAATATTAACATCATGAAGCTTTTACACAGTATTGCTACCTTCAGAAAAGCCAAAGTCAAGGATGCTTGGAAAAGGAAACTATCAACTGAATGGAATGTTCCTAAGGACATTAGATAAGTCTAAAAAAATATCTTACTCACTGCATCTAGCTGAAAAGTTATCTTGAATGACATTTTTCCAGAAACACTTCAAAGCAGGCTACTATTTGAAAAGTCTGTATGCCTCTAAACAAGATAACAACAATAATAAGAAACACACGTTTAGTAAATGTATTTTATAAGTATTTGTCAAAACAGTTGGATAAAGACGTTGTCAGGTGGAAAAGTAATTTATATTTGAAAAGTATACACAAAGTTATATATTTAAAAAGAAATAAGTCATTGAGAACAATTTGCAATGTGGAAAAATAGCAATGAAAGAAAGCATTCCTGCTTTTCTCTGCTCTCTCTTTAAAAAAAGAACGAACTTACTTAAACAACTTTGCTGTGAACCACATGATCAAATTCTGTCAAACACAGGAGGAACAAAGGGCCTGCCACTGAAAACACTACGTCACATTACTCCTACTCAAGTTGCGGGTCCTTTAGCCAAGCACTTCAAATACAACAGCATAAGAAGAGAGGTAGAGCTTTACAGTTCAAAAATTGAGTACTTCGTAATGAATTATGTAAATAACCGTAAAAATGGTTGTAAGGACCACTACTATTTCTGTACTACGTACAACTGAAGCAGTGCTCTTCAATAGTGCCCTTATGCAGGAAATGCTAATATAAACTAGTTACCAGACATGTCTACATCTCTATAGAAAAGCAAACACCTAAAAAGAAAAAAAAACAGATCTCCTAACTAAACACAGATGGAAACGGCAAGAGAAGCCCAATTTGTTTTTATACTACATAAGTGAAATGACACTTATTCCCCTCACTATCACAAGTACTTGATATTATAAAAACACTGCTTATGGCTTCATATAAAGCAGAATTTAAATTTTGCAAAGTTTCAACCTCTTAGTTGCTAATGAATACACTATCAGTTGAAGTATTTACTAAGCACATAATAAACATGTTTAAAAAATTTTGGTTTCACTTTTTGCAGATGTAAATACTTAGATTTATAGATAAATGAAAATAAATGGATTTCTAAATAAAAGCTTTCATTTGAGGGCAAAATAAATAAATAAAATGATGAAATATGCTTTTTCCTAGTACTTGCAGTACACATGTTTAAAAAACTAGTGTATTTGCAACTGTTTTCATTCAACTTATCTGCTGCTAACTAGATTTGCCTTTGCAAGTTCAAGATCACAAAACTGTGTGGTCTGGGTACTGACACATCACCATGCCCATCTACAAATCAGAACTAAAACTTTTTCATGAAGTCAAAACACAAAACTGATCATAACCTTTAAAACAAAGACTGGTACTGAACAAATCTGTTACAAGATAAACATCACCGACCATTTTATGTTTGAACTACATGAACATACCTAAAAATGTAAAACCAGGTAATAAACCATTAAAACCTACAAAGACAAATTTTCATTTTCATCATAGTTTAGGGGGGAATTTTACAAACAGAAATATAGTTTTAACTTATATTTTTACTAAACTTACCATAGTTTTTTCTACAATTGAAGACATTCTTGAATGTCTTGCATCTAACAAGGGAAAGGTATTAAAGTTATATTTTTTAGTGTACTAGAAATCTTCCCATAAAAACTCTTAGGTAAGATATGGCGCTACAACAGCATCACCTAAGATAAGTTTAAAAAAGTAAAAACTAAAAAAAATCTGGTAAACTCCCTGACACGAACATTTGACTATAAACAACAAAACAAAACAAACAAACAAAACAAAAACCCAAAAAGACACGACCACGCAGTTCGCCACGGTTGACAGTCTGCACAAAACACCTGAACAAAACACCAGACAGTATCTGTAGATCTGCCTCCAGACACTGGTTCTATGCAGAAGGCCTGTGGTAGCTTCTTGCTATACTGAGACTCTAAGTCCCTATTTGCATGAATACCATGTTAACAAGCAATATTAAAGTAATATCAGATCAAACTAGCACCTCAGAGTTAATCCTGCCCTCAGATACACTCAATAAAAAGAGTTTTAAAAGATGCAATTTAACCAATGTCTGCAACCAAGACTGGACCTGAATGTTTGCAAGACAGAATTCTAAATATAATAAAATGATAGTGCGGATGATAGGAGTCTCCTCTTTCCTCTTCCCCTCCAATCAAGAATCACCCAATTTTAAAATTTCCCCTTCCTGCTTAGTAACAACTTCTTTTCAGGTACAGTCAGTCAGACATGGATCTTGCCACAGCATCCCTAGCAGCTACAAACCTGAAACTTTTGAATTCTTCTACTTAACTACTGCTAAATCAATGGGATTAGCTATAGTCCTTTGAAAAAGTTGTGTCACATGATAAAAATATTGGCTGCTCAATATCATCCCAAGACCATGTATTTATTTCATTACATCAAGCTTCCTTTTTCTACACTTCCCACTCCACTATTCTCTGCAACAGCATAAATGTTCTGCTTATACAGTTAACTCAAAACTACTTGCAACTTTACTTTATACTTTGCATTCCAACTTTTTTTTACCCTATAAACCCCCTTTAAGTGTAAGCCCTTCATAAAAATAAATCTCAAGATTCAAAACACTATTTACCATTTCTCTTTTGGAAAGTTCTTTATAATTTCACTAATGATTGGCTGGTAACAGGAATCTCTCTCAGGTCTCCCCTCTTCACTCCAGTCTCTTACAAACTGTTTCAAAGTAGATTTTAATTTATCCATGTCAAATGTTGAAGCTGGCATAATCTTCCCATTTCCCTGCTTAAAGTGTAAAGAGAAGTTAGCAATAAAACCCCAAAAAAACCCAAACATAGTTCTGAATTTTAACGCAGACATGCTATAAGGACTATATGGGTGGTTTAGTTGATAAAGCACTCGCCTTCTCACCTCTGGGACCAGGGCTCAAGTCCAGGTTAGAGTCCTAAATGAAATGAGTTTGGTGGTCTCAGCTCAGCCCTCAATAGACCAGGGTCCACATCAGAAAACCAACAAATTATATGGCTTAATTGAGCACAATTGTAGTCCTTATTCAGGAAAGGACCAGGGCTTAGCTAGGATGGAGACTGAACAACCTCTGAGAGGGATCTCCCTCCAGGTCATTGATGAGGCAGCATGGAGAAGCTCACACTGGAGCTGCCCAGAACTGTACCTAGCCTGTGGATACAAAAAAAGAGGACTTCAGTTTCCATCATTGCCAGTCCCTTAATCTTCATAAGTGCAAAACTTCATTTTTTTAAATTAAAAATATGCCACACTGAAAAATGTTTATCAAATAGTGGGGAAATTACACTAAATTTTACAGAATAACAATGCCCAAAATAGATAACATCTAAAATTCTGAGATTTAGAATTTTATAAATGAAAATGGTACAGAAAGCATTGTTTATGTTCAATGCAGCCAATTAAAAATCTACTTAAAAAAACAAAAACTTATAATGGAATCAGAACTCCACCAAAGTTCTATTACACTGGTGTGCTATAAAAACAATTACTGACATTTCCCATAGCAGACTCACAGACAGTTCTCGAGTGATTATCTAAACTGCTGGACAAAATAATAAAAGATTTCTTTATTTGAAAAAAAAAAAAAAAGTGCTAGTATTGATTAATCCTGCAACACATGCAAATGTTGTGGGAGGGATGTAAGCAAATAGGAAAAGAAAAATTTAAAAAGTGGGTTGAGGGAAAAGAAAAATTAAAACCACCAGGTGAAAATAGTAAAGGTTAAAAAGAAAAACCCAAACATTTTTCCTCTTGAAATATGAAATACAAAAATAAAATCTTAACATACATCTTCTTTATACTCTCTATTTTCAAACATATGTGGGCAGTCATTCACAATAGTCTGTAGTATCTCCTGATTATGATCAATGCATGTCCGAATCTTGTCCAAGTGAAGAAGAAATTGAGGAAGTAGGTTCTGCTGGTTGGCTGGGAGGGATCTAAACTGTCTTTCTGTTCTGTTCACTCGCTCATGCATATTAGTTCTAGAAAATAAGAGAGTTAAAGTTGTCAGCATGAACTAAAAATGCAGGGAACACATCTGTAAAGATACCTTAACTGTGATGATCAAATGCTGTACCTTAATTTGTCTTTTTTTTTTTAAATCTCATACTCCAATCAAGATCAGAAACAATTCCACAACATTTTTACAAACTACCTGGTTATTTTAGACTGCTACATGCATAGCTAAAATCCCCAAGTTTATGCACAACCAATCAGGGTGCTAGTCTACAGAGAGATCTATATTTTAAAATCTCTTTTCTTGATTTTGTGCACAATTGTGCATGGAAAAAATAAGGAGCACGTTATTATGAACTAAGATATACAAGACAACTTTTTAATAAAATGGTTACTATCACCACAAGACCACTTGCATTAATGCCACCATAATCCCACAAAACTTTTCCACATGCTTAACTTTTCACAGGATGAAAAATCCAAAGACACAAACACTACTCAAAATGCATGACTGTAGATCTTTATAGTGTGGGTCTTGGCCGTTAAGTTCGAATTAAGCTTGCGCAAATAAATACTTACACCATAAGTGTGTAAGATAACATGGCTTTGTTCTTATATTTTCAAAGCAAGACATTTTAAGAACGTTTTACAGAGCCTTCTAGTCTGCAGCATTTTATTTTGCTGATTTGCAAAATAATTTCACTCGGAGCATGGCTGTTAAGATCTTCTTATTTCCGAATTTTGTATTTGTGCAGCCAGACAATTCCGGAGAGACTCTTTGATGCCAACCACCACCTCCCTACAGTTTAGACACAGATACCGTCTTATTGATACTAGTTTTTCAACTGGTGATATTCCAACTGAATGAGATGAAAGGAATGCCAAAGATGCTGGAACCACTCTGCATCACATGGTCTGGTTTCCCATATAAGTCACAGGCACCCACATCAAGGCCCAATATTTTATTCCAGCCTTCAAAAAGTTAAAACTGTCAGCAAGCAATACAGAAGAGGCCAAAACCTCCATTCCAGCCTAAAGGTCCCAAATATGTTTGCCTTCCATTATCAAGACAAAGCATAGCAGGTCTGGGCAATTACTTCAGTGGATCTGTTTAAAACGAACAAAACCCCCAAAAACATACAAACAAAAACCCCACTTGCTCTGTAGGGTGACAACATCTTAAATTAGCTTTATGAGCCTGGAGCAACTGAAAGTCTGGCATTTGCAACAAAAAGGGCACAGACATAGAAACAGAAATGAATTTGCTGCACCTCCAAAGCCTGTTCTTTGGGGCTGAAACAAATTTCTCCATTCTACACAAAGAGAGAACTTAGTTTCAGGTGTGGGTTTTCTCCCCCCTTGTGCACTCCTCTGCAAAGGCCATAAAGCAGTTCCCAAACTGTGGGCCCCAATCCCAGATGGGGTGGCAGGGGGAGCTGTGGGTTGGGAGTGAGGGAATATATGAGGTTGCTCTGAGGAAAATGTTTGGGAAGCGCTGCCTTAGCTACTGGATTTACTCCAATTCAAGACAAAACCCCCCATCTTCAACACAGAAATAAAAGCCTTGGGTTGGATCTGGGCAGCTCTGCCACCAACCCAGAGGCAACAGCAACAGAAGTGGCTCCAGGTCAGCAGGTTGGGGATGAGGTGAGCAGGCTGCTGGAGCCCCCACTGCTGCCCGGGCTGGACCCAGCATGTGGGCCAGCAGCAGGGAGGGCTGAAGGGAGCAGAGTTCAGGCTTGGGGAGCCCCAGGGAGGATCAGTGGCGCATGCGCCGTCGGAACCCCGGGGGGGCTGTCAAAGGGGAGGGCGCGACGCGGCGTGGGCCCAGCGAGTACCCGTAGTAGCGGAAGGCGTTGATGATCCTCCGGAAGTGCTCCCGTTCCAGCCGCTCCTCCTCCGCCTCCAGCTTGGCCCCCGGCGCACGCGGCTCCCGCTGCCGCCGCTGCTCCCCGCAGAACGGAGCCTCCCCATTGCTGCCGCCGCCAGGCGGCGCCGCCCCCTCCTCTTCGGCCCCGGGGCCCTGCCGGGGAGCCCTGCGCATGGCCTTGGCAGGCGGGTCCTTCTCGCCCCGCGGCTGCAGCGGGGGCTGCACCTTCCGGGACACGGCGCACGCGGCCGACATCCCCCAACCGCCGCCGCAACGCTCTCCCCAGTGCGCTTCCGGCTCCGGCCAGGCGGGCGTGCGCGGACCCCGCCCCCTTCGCTCACGCGGCGCGCCTGTCATGTGATTTGAAGCGGCTGCGGCTGACGTTAGTGCGCCATGCTCCGCGCAGGCGCACTGCTAGCTGGGGGCGGGTTCTTCCAGCTAGGCGAGTTCTGGCGAGAAGGTGGTGCGTGATGATGGGCAGGAGCGTGCCCCCTTGGGGAGAGCGCTTCGGGGATGGAGCGGCGCCTGCTGAAGGCGGGTGATGACGGCACTGAGGAGAGCGGCAGCCTGGGTCTGGCCCGGGAGGGGCTGGGTAGAGACCGCTCTATGGCCAGGCTGCCAGGGCAGTGATGCTCAGCCAGGGGTGCCTGGGGATGCTGCACCCTGGCAGCCTGACTCGGTGGGCAAGCAGGGGCTCTTACCTTGAACCAGCTTCACCTTCCCAGAAGAGAATAAAAAATAAAGCAATAGGCTATTAAGAGTGCAGTGGTCCTTTGGTACAAGGGGTCCAGGATGACAAATAAACAGGGATCCTGGTTTTCTCCGATTTAAAAAAAAAATCCCGATTTTCAGATTTAAAAAAGTAACCCCAAAGCCACATTTTTCTAGCCTTACCCAGCTCACTCTACAAATACTTTAAAACAAACTAGGGCCATGGGGCTTAAATCCTCCTCCCATAGCTTATCTCTAAAGACGACAGAGCTTCTGTAGTTTAAGTAATGGAAATTTATATTATGGCTCTAAATATCACAGGGTTCAAATCCTGCTAATCTCTTTAGGGAGATGGTATGGGTTTTTTATTTCATGAAACGGAGGTCTCTTTAAAACAGATTTTGTACTCAAAAACTATGTGACTACAGGAAATCAATTGATCTGCATGCACTTCTCAAAATGTTACAAGGGCTTCGGCAGTGTTAAGGCAAAATAGCTCCGTAAATAACTAGATTGTGTGACAATCTGCTGGTCTGTTCCTAGCAAAGGCATAAGAGCACAGGACTTAACAGGGCCTCCAGGCCCATCAAGGCCAGTCACCTACATTAGTATTTACCCAACGAATCCTCCAAATTGCCACTTCAAACCCTCCTGTACAACTTCCATTCACAACATTTAAAACACCAGCACCATCCTATAACATGCCCTTGATTAGACAAAGTTAGACAAATTACTGTACCAAAGTGCAAATTTTATGAAACCAAAGTATTTATTTGTTAAAGATGGAATTTGAATCCTTATGGAGGGTTAGAGTGTATTATGAATAGTATAATACAATTATGAAGGTGGATAAGAATACATAAGTCTTTCCTCTTGTTTCCATGCTTTTAAAAGTTTTGGGCATATACTAATTTAAGCTTATCTGTAACTGATATTTTAATGAACAGGCCACTACCTAAGAAGAGGTCTGAAGGGCAAAGAACTAGTTAACATAACTCCATTTTAAACCAATAGGTATAGTTACCTTCTTGCAAAATGGGCATCTAGTCAAATTACTTCTCAGTACATTCATGTACCAGAACTACTCAGCAATCCAGCCTCAAGTTACTTTCCTCTTGTTATCCTATTGTGAGGAAGAGCTGTCACACAAGAGAATAGGATACTGATGCTAAGTCTTCTGGGACACATTCCTTCATTTCATTACAGTAGACACTGTCACTTTATAGATGCTTTTTTTGCTGTGAATTGTGAAAGAAAGCCTATCCCTGTCTCTGGCAGTTTACAGAGGTAAACCAAGTTTGGGCTTGACACATTCTATTTTTATCTAGGGCCTTTGTTTCAACTTGTGGCAAGAAACAGATGCAAGTCTTACCATTTGTGCAACATATTTTGGCAAAAGGAAGCAGCACTGAGGAAAGAGGAGAACTGGAATATCTGTGGGCAGAATGTAGAAGAGGTACACAAAGCTGGAAGGGGGAAAAGGGCTGTTTCAGCTTTAACTGTGGATAATTTCTTCAGCTGGTATTCCTTGCCTTCCCCTCTCCTCCATCACTTATGATCTTTTATCATAATTTACTGTCATCTGTGTTTTTGTGGGGGGGTTGATTTTTTTTTGGGGGGGGGGGGTTGCATGTATGGCAGAAAGTTGTCCTAGACCCTTTTGATTATTGATGAACTAAAAGCCATTCACTGGCTTCCTGCCTCCCATTAGTTTGAGGACAGAGTTACCAATTGATCATGTTCTTGATGATGTCTCCTTCTAGTTTCTGCAGCATAGCAAAGCACAGATTGTAACTTTTATCATTAGACTTCATCCTCTTATTATACTTCTCTTGCCTGGCACTTGGTGTTTCCACTTTCCAGCATATCAAGCAACCCTTCTACCTTTGTTCTTCAAATTTCACCCATTTACTAGATCTGGTAGGACTTTGAGGAGCTAACTGAAGGAAAAGAGCAGTAATATATTCCAAGCAGTGGTGGCATTGCCTGAGGTAAAACTTGCTGAAGATCCCAGACAGGAAAGAAAGCAGCTGGTCCAAACTTCTGGCACAAAAATGTTTCCACCTGACAAGTGACGAGCAGGTTGGTAATGGGACAGAGTAGCAAAGCACAAGTCAGAGGGACGTGGAGTATTTTCCTTTCCTAGAAACTTGAGAGATGGTTTGGCATTTCTGTTGAATGAAAAGGTCTCATGCATCATTCCACAGGGGTGGACCAAAATTTGAATGAATGTACATTAGCTCAGAAGTTCCTACATTTTTTAATTGGGTACCCCCTTCCAGATTTATCAGCTGCCTGTGTACCCCTCCCAACATGCATTTTA